CTTGTGCCCTTACTCCCGAGTCGACCTTTGTTCCTTAGCTATTCCCTTCACCTGGCAGCTCTGTGCATGCACGCCCTGGGAACAGGCTCCCGCTGTTCTTCTGCCTCACCGATCTCCGACTCCGAAGGCAGCTGATAGCTGTCAGACGGCCCTGGCTCCATCTCTGCCTCCGACGCAGAGCCTTCCCCAGACTCCAGGCTCATGTTCCTCCCCAACCTCCTCACTGTCCGAATCGGCTACCAGCTCCGCCACCACAAGGGATTATTAGACTGAGTGGACCATTCTCCTTGCAGGTTTTGGCGCCAAGTCGGGGGACATCTGCGCCTGATTGAATGCAACAGCGATGGCATTGTGTGGGGAGTCGGTTATGACCACACCGCCTGGATTTACACAGGGGGTTATGGAGGAAGTTTTTTGTCAGGTAAGAAATGCCTCTTCCAGTCATCCTTATTTAGCTGAACTTGGGGAATGAGTCTCTGCCAATTTTACAAGAACTTCTGTCTCTCTCTCTCTCATCTGGAACAGTGTTTTTTCAACCTTGGTTGTTTTAAGATATGTGGACTTCAACTCCCAGAATTCATGTTGGCTGGGAAATTCTGGGAGTTGAAGTCCTCCTAGAGTTTTGCGTGGCTGACTAATACCCTGGATTAATTTATGAGGGTGCTGTACTTCAACCCTCCTGTACATTTGCTGTAATTCATATTAATTACGTTAATATTTTGAGTCTTGAGGTGGAAGAGGATCATTCAATCCTAAATCAAAAAAAAAACAAGGAAGGAAAATGAAACAGAGGGATAATTTTCATGGTTTGGCCTTAAACAGGTTTGGCAGGCAGCCCTGAGAATATTCACCCCCAGACTGATGTGAAGGGCGTCTATATTTACGAAAATCAACGGTGGAATCCCGTCACGGGCTACAGTAACAGGTAGGCAAAGCGGACAGGTAAAAATTCAGTTTTTGCCAGCCTGTTGCAACAAGAATTATGCTACCTGATCATTTTCATCATCATCATCATCAACATCTTTTAATGACTCCATAATACCTTGCGGGGTGGAGTCTTAGCAACTGAATGGAGCTGAGTGTTTACTGGCCGGATGCCCTTCCTGTCACCAATGAGGAGTCTTGTTTGGCAGACACATTCTCAGTGTGCCCAGAGAGAAAAATATCTGCCTCTACCTAGGATCAAACTCACAGCCTCCTGATAGCGAGGCGAGAGCGCCGCCTCTAGGCCACTGTGCGCTATTCTTAAGTGTTTACTGGCCGGATGCCCTTCCTGTCACCAATGAGGAGTTTTGTTCGGCAGATATATTCTCAGTGTGCCCAGAGAGAGAGAAATATCTGCCTCTACTTAGGATGGAACTCACAGCCTCCTGATAGTGAGGCGAGAGCGCCGCCTCTAGGCCACTGTGCGCTACTCTACCTGGTCATTTTCATGTCCTAAAAACAAAATGAACAGCTGTCAATTCGCATTTTTTTTTCCCCTTGCAAATGTCCTTGACCTAACAAGGCAGATTTGCTGAACCTTGTTCCTGTTTGCCTTAACAGAGGCCTGCCCACCGACCGGTATATGTGGAGCGACGCCTCTGGTTTATGCGAGTGTACCAAAGCTAACACCAAGCCCCCATCCCCGCTGTGGTCTTGGGTAAGTGAACTTGCTCTCTGGCCCCTGGTACCGATAAAGGAGAAAGTCTGTTAACTCGGGGTTGAAATGAGAGGTCTTTGGTTGCCCTCTGAGCTTGGTTGTTTCCTTGCAGACGTTTCGTGACCCAACTAGCTAACATCATCGGTGCTAGAAGGAGGTAGGACTTGTGGAGAGGAGAGAGAGAGAACTTGTGGGGTCCTGGGTGCTTTCTGAGCTTGTGGGGGGAGGAGGAGGAGGAGGAGAGGACAATGACTGTGGTAGCTTGGTTGTATTTGGGTCGACGTCTCATGACCCAAATAGGGAACCTCATCAGTGCTAGAAAGGAGTGGGGATTGTGGAAAGGAGGAGGAAGTGGAGGAGGAAAGAAGGAGAAGGACAAGAAGAGGAGGGGGAGGGGGAGGAAAGAAAAGGGGAAGGGGAGGACTGTGGAATCCTTGGTGCTCTTGGGAAGATGTTTCATGACCCAACTGGGGAACATCATCAGTGTTAGAAGGGAGCGGGACTTGTGGGGTCCATGATGCTCTCTGAGCTTGGTTGTATTTAAGCAGACGTTGCATGACCCAACTAGGGAACATCATCAGTGCTAGAGAGGAGAGGTGTTAGTGGAGAAGGGAGTGGGGAGGAAGAGAAGAGGACTGTGGGGTCCTTGGTGCTCTCTGGGATTGGTGGTTTTCCTTGCAGACGTTTCATGATCCAACTAGGTAACATCATCAGTGCTCGAGAGGAGATCCCGATGCTTGTGGGGACCCTGAGCTTGGTTATATTTAAGCAGACATTTCATGACCCAACTAGGTAACATCGTCAGTGTTAGAAGGGTTTGCTCTCCGTTTATATTCTAGTGGCTTGCCCTGTCAATGTTGCCTCACAGCCTGGAAAGGACTCTTGTCTTATTCAAATTCCCACAATCCCCTCTGTTGAGGTAATTCCCCGTTAGGAGAATGAGCGCATACAGGGAGACGTATTTGAGAGGAGTGTTTGAATAATACACACGCAGCACACAGATACACTGTACAGTAAATGTAGGTTTTTACTCCCAGACAGTTTAAGCAAAGTTCAAGATAAGCAGTCCAAAATCATTCACAGGTAAAATCAGTCAGTTTTCAATCCAGGGATAATCCAAATATCAAATTCCAGTGTCAAAAAAACAGTTCAGTATCAGACTTACATCAAATCCAGTAATATCAGTCAATTAGAAGAAATGGAGCAAGGGCAATACTTTCCAACAGAAGGAAACAGAGATACACTTACACTCTCTTCTGAGACTAAGACTAAGACAACCCAGGTTTCTGGCTCCATCTTATGGCCGTTTGAGAAACCACACCCAACTACAGTTTTGCATTTTCTTAAAGAGACAGTTTTAAAATGTTTATCCTGGTTTATATATTTCTAACCCAAATAGCTGTTAGGTGACTCATATTCCTAACACCCTCTCCAGCATCATTGGGGGGCACATTCTGGGATGTCAACAGATGATGATGATGATGATTTTGTTAGGGATTCCAGAGTGAAGCAGAGGAACAAAATTTCATTTTGTTATTTTTTTCCTTTTCTCTCCGCCACGCAGGTGTCTGACTGGGCCATCGATTTCAGTATTTCGGGTGGGACCGACCGAGAAGGTTGGCAGTACGCAGCAGACTTTCCCGCGTAAGGATGTTGGTCTGCTCCCCCTCCCACCTCCAAGTAACTGGGTTAGATCATGGGACCGAATTAGAAGGCCTTAGCTGATGAGGGTACAAATGGAATAGCAATTTTTTTTGGGGGGGGGGGGGGGGGGGGGGGGGGGTTTTAAAAAAAAGAATTTGGGCGGGGGGGGGTCAACTCATAAAATATTTTTATGGTCTTTTTAGAGTTGCCAACGGAAAGGGAGGGGGGGGAAAGGGGGTTTGAAAGAGCAGTGTGGCAGCTTGCAAACCGAAACTGCATTCCATAAATAGTTTTTCAGAGATTGTAACTAGGTGGCTGAAGTTTCTGCCACGCAAATATCTAACTGGAGAGCATGATTGATGACTCTTGGCTATGGATGTGTCCCATTGGAGAATATGAATTATGATACACCCAGGGGGTGGTGGGAAAACCAGGGTCAAGGGTGACAATGAACTATGTATCTCAGAGTCAGCTATACCCAGGCAGCGCTGGACATGTTAACTTCCAATAAATCCTTTTGAAGTTTTGGAAGTTTGGCTCGAGACTCATGATTTAATTGAGGGGTAACTGCCGGAACCCTGACAGCGTGCGCAAAACTATAGATAGTCCTCGACTTCAGTCGAGGCCAGAATTTTTGCTGTTAAGCAAGGCGGGTGTTAAAAGGGTGGCACCCCATTTTATGGCCTTTTTGCCGTGATGGTTAAGCGAATCACTGCAGTGAAGTGATAAGTCTCACGGTCGTTAAAGTGAATCCAGCTCACACACACACACACACACATACACTGACTTTGCTTGTTGGAAGCCGGCTGGGCACATGGGCATCTCAGGACCACGGGATACTGCACCCGTTGTAAATACACATTGGTTGCCAAACACCCAAATTCTGATCACACATCCAAGAGGATGCTGGATGCTGTCGTAAGTGTGAGGACGGGTTGAAAGTCAAATGTTTCGGGGGGGCCTTGCAACTTCAAACAGGTGCTGCAATGAATGGTTGCATGTCTAGTTTGATGAAAAGAAGGACCAGGGGAGACAGGATAGCAGCCTTCCAATATCTCAGGGGCTGCCCCAAAGAAGAGGGAGTCAAGCTATTCTTCAAAGCACCTGAAGGCAGGACAAGAAGCAATGGAGAAGCAACCTGGAACTAGGGAGGCATTTCCTGACAGGATAATTAACCAGGGGAACAGCTTGCCACCAGAAATGGTGGGTTCTCCAACACTGGGGGGGGGTTTAAGAAGAGTTTGGACAACCGTTTGTCTGAAATGGTATATAGGGCTTCCTGCCTAAGCAGGGGGTTGGACTAGATGATCTCTAAGGTCCCTTCCAACTCTGTTATTCTGATAATCCGTGGAAGAAATTGTGGGTGCTCCAACACTGGAGGTGTTTAAGAAATGGACAGCCATTTCTTGGACATGGTAGGGTTTCCCTGCCGGAGAAGGGGGTTGGGCTAGAAGACCTCTAGGGTCCCTTCCAACGTTTGTTATTGTGTTCTTCTCTGTTCCAACAGGTCTTATCACAGCTACAAAACAATGAGGGACTTTGTGCGCCGGAGACGCTGGGCCAGGTAATCCCTGTCACCTCTTGCAAAAGTCCATTTAAAGCATGTCCCCGAACTCCTTTGTTTCTCCTCTTGGTGGTGGTTGTTTCTTTTAAACATCGGGTGCCATTCCAAACACAACGTTTGCTTTGGCCGATCAAGGAGGAAGGTGTTGGCCTCTGATAAAAAAAAAAATAAGCCCGATGGAATCTCCAAACCTGCTTTTTCCTCGCTGGGCCTTTTACGCCTCAATTGGAAAGCAAAATTTTACCTCAGGGAACGCCGGGGAAAGAAGGGCCTGGAATTAAAAAGCCTCCGCACAAAGTTGTATTTTGTTTGGATCAGGGGCCTTGCTGAATAAATGGCAAGGGGACAGCAAGGCCTACATCGTCGCTCGTTTGTTCTTTCGTTCTCTAAAGGCCATTTATGAGAATGTTTTTTCTCAAAGAAGCCAGTGAATGGTTTCAGCCAGGGTGCGATTGGCTGAGGGCCATTCCTTAAGTTTCGATAGAAGAGACTATTTTTGTAGATGTGACGTGGGGAAAGGTACGGGGTGCTCTCTCTGGGCTTGGTGGTTTTCCTTGTAGACGTTTCATGACCCAACTAGATAACATCATCAGGGCTGGAGAGGAGAGGTGTTAAGTGGAGAGGGAGTGGGAAGGAGGAAGAGGAGGAGGACTGTGGGGTCCTTGGTGCTCTCTGAGCTGGGTTGTTTTCTTGCAGACGTTTCATGACCCAACTAGGTAACATCATCAGGGCTAGAAGGGAGTGGGGCTTGCGGAGAGGAGGAGGAGGAGGAAAAAGAAGGAAGAGGGGAAGAAGAAAGGAGGAGGAAGAGGAGAAGACAGGAGGAGGAGGAGAGAATGAAGAGGGGAAGAAGTAGAAAGGAGGAAGAAAAGATGGAGGAGGAGGAAAAAGAAGGAAGAGGGGAAGAAGAAAGGAGGAGGAAGAGGAGAAGACAGGAGGAGGAGGAGAGAAGGAAAAAGGACAGAAGTAGAAAGGAGGAGGACTACAGGATCTTCATTGATCTCTGAGCTTGGTGATTTTCTGGCAGACGTCTCATGACCCAACTAGGTAACATCGTCAGTGCCAGAAGGGAGTGGGGTTTGCGGAGAGGAGGAGGAACAAGAGGAAGAAAACAACAACAACTTTGGGGCCCTTGTTGCTCTCTGAGCTTGGTGATTTTCTGACAGACGTCTCATGACCCAACTAGGTAACAGCCTCAGGGCTGAAAATGTGCCTGACATCCTCTCCTTTTTGTCTTTTTTCTTTTCTCTCCAGGAAATGTAAGATTGTCACCAGTGGGCCCTGGCTGGAAGGACCTCCCATCGCTCTGCGAGATGTTTCTATCATGTCGCAGCCTCCTGGGTCGACGGAAGATTTTGTTCCCCTTTGGGCCATCAGCGACAAGGGAGACGTGCTGTGCCGGCTGCAAGTCACACCCCAAAACCCAGCGGTAAAAATAAACCTTCCCTCCTCTTGGATCTCAGCACTAGGCAGGGCACTTAGATTTATATACCGCTTCACAGAGCTTTCCAGCCCGCTCTAAGCGGTTTGCAGAGTCAGCCCCCAACAATCTGGCTCTTCATTTTACCCACTTTGGAAGGAAGGAAGGCTGAGCCAACCTTGAACCTGGTGGGATTCAAACTGCCAAATTGCAGTAGGAGTAGCTTGCAGTACTGCACTCTTGTATAGAGTAGAGTAGAATATAGAATAGAATATAGAATATAACAGAATAGAATATAGAATATAGAAAATAGAATAGAAAGTAGAGTAGAGTAGAATATAGAATAGAATATAGAATAGAATAGAATAGAATAGAATAGAATAGAATAGAATAGAATAGAATAGAATAGAGAGTAGAGTAGAGTAGAGTAGAGTAGAGTAGAATATAGAATAGAATAGAATAGAAAGTAGAGTAGAGTAGAGTAGAATATAGAATAGAATAGAATATAGAATAGAATAGAATAGAATATAGAATAGAATAGAATATAGAATAGAATAGAAAATAGAATAGAATAGAAAGTAGAGTAAAGTAGAGTAGAGTAGAATATAGAATAGAATAGAATAGAATAGAAAGTAGAGTAGAGTAGAGTAGAATAGAATAGAATATAGAATAGAATAGAATATAGAATAGAATATAGAATAGAATAGAATATAGAATAGAATAGAAAATAGAATAGAATAGAAAGTAGAGTAAAGTAGAGTAGAGTAGAATATAGAATAGAATAGAATAGAAAGTAGAGTAGAGTAGAATATAGAATAGAATAGAATATAGAATAGAATAGAATATAGAATAGAATATAAATAGAAATTAGAATAGAATATAGAATAGAATAGATAGAAGAGAATATAGAATTGAATTGAATTAAATTGAATTGAATTCTTTATTGGCCAAGTGTGATTGGACAGACAAGGAATTTGTCTTGGCGCAAATGCAAGCTTGCTGAAGACTGGAGCTCTGCTTTGAACTTGTAACATGTTTCTGTCTGAGTTTGCTCCATATTGGAGAAATCTACAACTGGTGTGTAAATTTTACTTATTGTGTTTATAAAGATGTTAAATGAAGCATCAGCCATTTGTGTTTATTTTTCCGGCACTGAATTAAACGCTGCAAAACTTGCTATCTCACCAGAGTCTTCAACTTCAGAGTGGTTCAAACTTTGGGAGATCTACTTGGGCACAGGTTGCACAGCCCAAAGAAGGGATGGGAAGGGATGGAGATAGAAGTTCATCTCTTTAAGGTCTCCCAAGACTCACAAAGGTTTTGTCATCCTTGCTGTCTCCTCCCAACAGGGCACCTCTTGGCTGCATGTGGGAACAGACCAACCCTTTGTTTCAGTCACCATAGGAATGTTTTACCAAGTCTGGGCTGTCGCCCAAGATGGCTCGGCATTCTGTCGCGGTTCAGTGTCATCAAAGAAACCAGAAGGTGAGTTTTTAGCCAGTCGAGAGTGAAGATGGAAGGGAAGGAAACGAATCAAGGAGAGAAGCAGCCTAGAACTAAGGAGGAATTTCCTGACAGTTAGAGCAATTAATCAGTGGAACAACTGGCCTCCAGAAGTTGTGAATGCTCCAACACTGGAAGATTTTAAGAAGATGTTGGATAACCACTTGTCTGAAGTGGTGTAGGGTTTCCTGCTTGAGCAAGGGGTTGGACTAGAAGACCTCCAAGGTCCCTTCCAACTCTGTTATTCTATTCTACTCTACTCTCTACTCTTATTCTACTCTGCTATTGTATTCTATTCTACTTTACTCTTATTCTAGTCTATTCTATTTTACTCTACTCTTATTCTACCCTACTATTCTAGTCTACTATTATTCTACTCTACTATTCTATTCTACTTTACTCTTATTCTAGTTTATTATTCTACTCTACTCTTATTCTACCCTACTATTCTAGTCTACTCTAC